TTCAATGGACTAACTACTCGTTGAATGAAAGCATTTTTCTTCTTATCAGCTTTGAATTTACTAGGTTTTAATTCAATTGACTGTCATTTTATTCACACACTGTGCTGCTGGAAGAACAGAAAGCACTAGCTGACTTCCCCTGTAACACCTATATGACATTTTATAGTGTTCCTATCTGTTCACCGCCATCCTGAACAATCCTGATCTTTCTGACTTCTGTCACTTTCTTCCTCTGAACCTTGCAATTTCCTCACTGGCAATGGCTGGTGCAGTGCTCCAGGTTAGACCATACCTCCAATTTAACGTCAAAATGGATTGTGTGTGGTGTGCTCTATATTTAGATTACAATTGCATGTGCTTCCTGTTTCAAAGTAATATTCATGCTCTGAACTAAATAACCAGCAAAGTCAAATGTTTTTCTGTACATTAGTCAAAAAGTTTAATGCTGTACAATCACGCAGTCAAAATGCACTGTTGACTGTAATTGGACATTTAACTGGTACTGATACAAGAAAATGTAATTACTATGTATTTAGAATGTAAATGTGTTTTTCACATGGAAATATTTAGGGCAATACACTTATGGTAATAGGTGGCCAGATGAATAGGGATGATTACAAAATATTCGTACATCTGCCTTTAATCAGAAAAAAGTCTTAATATGTTTTCTATAAACTTAATAAATCATGATTGAATATCAACCACGGAGAATGTGTTTGTTAAAAAGTGCCCTAGATTTCATTACAATCTATTATTTTTGAGAAAACAAAAGTTGCTGTGTGCAGGGAAAAGAGTTATACTTACCACAGTATTAAGTTGCTGTAATGTTCTGTAATTGGAGTCAGTGTTATTTTTCCATCATGTCTATGCATAGACAGCATTTCTTTGTCTATTACTCAAAGCAGAAAATCTAGGTTTTATCAAAATTATGAAAATACTAAGCAATTTCTGTAGGGTTTTTTAAGCATTTAAAAATGTGTTACTCTTTCAGCATTTTAAAGTAGGCTAATTTCTTCAGAACTTTAGGCAGTTTAAAACTGTGAATCATGACTGCAGTCATTACTACTTACCGTAGTGATTATAGCAAAGCTTAAGTTGTACAACTGGGAGGTAATTTTCAAGAATACCCCAATAAATTAGAAGTACAATGTCAACAGGGCTGTTTAGTTCGTGTATCTTTCTTATTTTCTGTGAAAGGAGAGAAGTAACACTTAGTTGTTAAATTTAAGTGTTAAATTATAACTTGTAATTAATTATGGTTCAAAAATAATATTTGGAATACTTATGGTAACTCAAAATCTGAATATATACTTATAAATGTCATCTTTTTTCATTTTCTTTCTCATGATCCTTTGAAATATTGGCATATGTTTTTCAGGCTTCATTTTTCCACAATTGTGGTTCAGGCAGTCATATAGAATATGCTTGTTATGTTTGGCAAGTCATGAAGACATGTTGCAACATAGGGTAGAGCTGTTATTGCTCATTTTCAAAAGAATTGGCCTGAATTTTCAGTGTAATAAAATTCCATAGAATGTTAACTGGCAAGAGAATGGATGTTGGAAAGTTGGCCTTTGTTTGCAAACACCAGTTTCTTTGGGTGCCTCAGTATAAGGAGGACATCAAACTACTCGAGTGTGTCCAGAGGAGGGTGACCAAGATGGTGAAAGGTCTCAAGGGCAGGACTTCTGAGGAGTGACTAAGGTCACTTGGCTTGTTCAGCTTGGGAAAGAGAAGAAAAGGCTGAGGGGTGACCTCATTGCGGTCTACAGCTTCAAGGTGGGCAGCAGAGGGGGAGATACTGATCACTTCTTCCTGCTGACCAGCGATAGGACACGAGGAAATGGAATGAAGCTGCATCAGGGGAAGTTCAGATTGGACATGAGGAAAAGGTTCTTCAGGGAGATGGTGGTCAGTAACTGGAACAGGCTGCCCAGGGAAGTGGTCGTACCACCAAGACTGTCAAAGTTTAAGGATCACCTGGGCGATGTTCTTTGTCATATGGTTTAGTTTTATGTAGTCCTGTGAGGAGCACGGAGTTGGACTCTATGATCCTTATGGGTCCCTTTCAACATGATATATTCTATGAGCCTATGATTTGCTGGAAGAAGGAAAAAATCTGACCCCTGATGTGAAAGGGCTCATTGCTCAGAGGTGGACTGTCTGCCACAGTCCTGAGCAAGGTCAAGGAGCTTCCAGTGAGGTAAGACTAGGAAATGAATATCAACACACTCTGCTTGATTTCCCAAACAAACCTGGAAAAGTCATCAATAAATTAAAATATTATTTCTCCGAAGGATTAAGCCAGTCAAATCATCGATTTCTAATCATCCATTTCTAATCAGTGTGTACAATAAAGGGGACTTCAGACATGCAGATCAGGATTTCCTTCATCATGGTTTAGATCCTTCAATGTGATATAGAAATTTTTTGCAATTTATTTAAGCCTTCTCTTTTGAAATAATCTTCAATATTTATCACAGAAGTGTTTTCCTAGGCAAATGGTAGAAGGATGTAAGCAAGAGACGCTTTCAAGGAGAGAGACATAAAGAAAGGACATACAAATCTTTTTCAGCTCTGTTTTGGCTAATCACTTCTAGCACACATACTTTAAAAATACCATTATCTTTGTATTAGTTGGCTGTATTTCTAAAAGCAGTTTAAAAATTTATTCTTAAAATTAATGAAGGGTTTGGCCAAAATAGAGTTGGCATACTAAAAAAGTCCTGTATTTATGAAGGTGCTTTCATCAAACCTCGCGACATCCCCTGAGTCCACGGATCGGATATAACTCTGCATTTGTAGTCATTAGCTCAGAGCAGCCGTGCCTTGGCTGGTGCTGGGGTGGTGAACCTTCCACGTATGGTATCTACACCACATCTGGACAATGGTAATGGCAAGAGAAAAAAGAAATGTATGATGTACTGATCCAGGAAACGAGTGTGTAACTGTACTGTGTATCTACTGCGTAAATGATGTAATATATATCCAATGTTGTGAGCTCTCGCAGAAATACTGACAGAAGAAGCTGTGAAATAGTGTGCCAGTGGGAAGAGTTTGGTCTAACTGAAGTAACTGTAGAGGTTGGCTGTAGCCTGAAGTGCAAGGATTTATGACTTTTGAAAAAAGAGTGAAACATCATAATACAGTAATGATTTTTCTTTCTAAATACAACACTTTCTAATTTTCTTTACCCACCCCACCCATGGTCCTTCCGATACCCTGCAGCAGTTTTGTAAGCTAATTGTACACTGTTTCAGCAACTGTTCAAGGATTTAATTGATACTTTGAGGTAATATTCCACCCTGCCTGTAGTGTATGACTGCAGTGTAACTTGGACAGTACGAAACTTATGAGCCACTTTCTCCTCAAAGTTGATATATATTTCCAGATGCAATGTTGTGCTCTTAAAGTGCCTGTCTTGCTCCCATCTTCAGCTTGCTGAACTGTCATTTTGTCTGGTTCTATATCGTGGAAACAAACTGTGAGAAACTGAATTTCCTTCAGCTGTCCTCTGACTGCTTCCCTTCATAAGATGATCTACGTAAGTAAGGCAAGACCTACGGGAAAATGAGGCCAGGAGCCCTGACCTCCCCTGGTGGGCGGCTGCCTGGGGGGGCAGGCAGCAGCCCAGAGCACTGTCCCTCCCGTGGGGGGGCCCACGGAAGGCAGCCTGGTAGGCTGAAACACTCCTAGGAGCAGAAGTGGAGGTGTCAGGTGTCCTGGCTGTTGCTAGTGAAAGCAATGCAATTAATATTGATCTGTGTAATGGTTTTAAGATTATGAAAACAAAATTTATTTTGTTTTGTTTCATTCTTTTAATCTTCCAGGCTATAACGAGCAGCAGCTTTCAGGGCCATTTACAGGGATGCCACTGTCCCCTTTATTATGTGCTTGTAACTGGTGTAAAACCTTGCTGTGGGTAGTTTGACCTCGTATTTCCTTCCACGGGTCAGTACCGGGCTTCATCTGCCACTGTGCTGCTCTGACAATCATCCTCATCCCTTGACTCCCCTTAACTGTGTTCCATGGCACTCCTTCCTCCTGCCAATTCGGGAACCAGAGGGGGAAGGGGGTGCCTGAGAAAATTATTATTCTCGTCCCATTTTCATAAAGAAACGTAGTGAAGAGAGGCGAGATGATGGACAGTGCTGCCGGCCTCGGCTTCCCGGTAGGTGGGGGTGTGGAATTGGGTTGCAGCTGCAGCCATCCCTCTTCCGAGTGAGGAACAATCCTCGGGTTTCGGCAAACGGACATCGTGGGGACTCCTTGACGCTCCTGCCTCTTGCTTTGGCCTTGCTTTTGCCACTTGCTGAGTCCAGGAGAGCGTGTTGTAACTTCCAATGAATGATTCTGCGTTACAATCCTTGTCAACTCTCCTTAAGTGTTAGTCCAGTGGGGAAAGCGGGGCGGGAGTGGAAATTTAAGAAAGGTGGGAAAAAGGTCATAGAGAAGGAAATGGAGGCTTGCTGTGCAAAGGGACACGAAAGGGAGGAGAGAGGGGCGGGGGGCAGGAGCCGGTCAGAGGAGGGGCGGGGGGCAGGCCGGGCAGGTGGGGAGGGTGGGAAAGGCTCGGGCTGCGCCCCCCCCCCCCCCCGCCTCCAGCCGGCCCGGCCGGGAACGCGGGTTGGGCGGCGGGGCTTCCTTCAGCCCCGGGCCGGTGCGGGGCCGGGGCCGGGGCCGGGGCGGCTGCGGCGGCTCTGCGGCCCTCCCCGGGCTGCGGGGCTTCCCCCTCCGGTCTCGCAGCGGTCCTTCAAGCCCTTGGCAAACGACTACATTTCCCAGCACATCTCTCTTCCAAGCGGGCTCTGCGGGGAGCCTCGCCGGCTCTCGCCATCTCCTTCCCTCGCAGGGGGGCTCGGCGCGGCGGCGGGGCGGAGCTCGGCAGCCCCGGCCCCGCGGCGCCCCCCCCCCCCCCCCCCCCCCCGCTCCGTCAGGCGCGGAGCCGGCGGCGGAAGCCGGGGCGGCACACGGCGGCGAGCGGGGCGGCGGGCAGCGCCATGCGGGCTGCAGCCTGCCTCCTCTCCCTGGCGCTCTGCGCCCTGCCCGCTGCCCCAGGTGAGCGGCGGGGGGGGGTGGTGGTGGTGTGTGTGTGGGGTGGTGGGGGGGGGGGGGATGCCGCGCCAAGGGCCGCTGCGGAGCCCCGTGGAAACGGAGCCCCCCGCTGCAGCCCGCGCGCCGTGGGCGAGGGCGCAGCCGGGTGACGGGTGCCTCTCCCCTGCCCAGGAGGCGCCGGGCCGGCGGCAGCGGCGGCGGGGCGGCGGGGCGAGAGCCGCTTCGCGGAGCGAGAGAGCATCAGGCCCCTGCGGCTGGTGTCGGGCGGCGGCGGGGCGCGGCGGCCGGCGCTGAGCACCCGGGTGCGGAGCGGCGCGGCGCGGAGGCAGGTAAGCGCCGGGCGGGGGGGGGATGGGGAGTGGGGGGGGCCCCCTCTCCGAACGCGGCGGAGGCGGCGGTGGGGGGGGTCTCACCCGCCCCCCTCCCGCAAGCGCGTTCTTAAGTGCCGCTCACTGGGAAGCGTTGCTCGGCGAGACGCGCGGCTCGTTTCCCCGCGGGACCACCGGGAATGCCGGTCCCACGGCGGCGGCGCCCGAGCGAGTGGAAATGGGCCCCGTGCCGGGTAATTCCCTCCCGCGGCCGTCGGCGGGTGCGCGGGTGGGCAGAGCCGGCTGCCCGTGGGCTCGGAGAGCCACGGAATGAAAGTTGCGGTGCCTTTGCGACAGCTGGAGTGGGGACGCTGCGGCTTAATTTCGGTTTCTGGCTGGAGCGTGGGCAGGGTGGGTTTGGGTTCCGTGGACTCGGATGTGTTTTTAAAAATAGAAATTGGAAACGGAAGGGAATTGCTTGAAACCCAACATGTGAGCTTAACGTTACAATTTAACTTAGATGTTACTACCCAAACTGGGGTATGTTTTCACATTTTTGTTACAGGAAGATGAATCCTTATGGTTCGTAACAAATACCTACTCCCATTTATTTTAAAATACAGTGATTTTAATCTTGATCAGTAAGCGTCATATTTGAGGTGGTACCTGGCTGTTAAATCTAAAGGGAAAAAACATTGAGTCCATGGTATTATAGATGAAGAACATTAAAAATTTGAGCATTTGAGGTAACTGCTGACATCCAAGATCCATCGCAGGCCTCTGTTTCCTCCTTTTCCAACTGACTACTGTCCATTTAAGAAACAAAATAGCTGGAAAAAATGATCTCAGATTTCTTTTTTATAATCCGTAAAGTATCAGCACTGACAGCTTACATATTTTTTTGTGTACTTAAATAATAAGCAGTCTCTTCATAGCATGTTTGTTTACCTCTGAATGTAATTTATTCTATGTAAAGATTTTTCAGATGTGAAGGCCATATTTACAGTACAATAAAATAGGATTCTAAAAGTTCCAAAATGGGTGCCTCACTTTAAAAAAAAATAAAAATTTCTCTCAGCATTTCAGGATTCTTTGAAGACCCTTGGACACTCACAAGTTCACGCACTTTGTGACATGTCTCTTTAAAAAGCAGTAATGGTTGCATCTGGATCTAGTACTAGGATTCAAAACTGGTCTTACAGAATAAACCATTAATTAATGGATCTTGTTCCTCTGAATGTCTCAACTTTTATTCATCAAATCTGATGCTCATAAAAAAAAAATACAAGTCATCCCCATTTAGTTGTTAGTATTAATGTTACTCTAGCCAGAAAAGTAAAGCTAGTGGGTTAAAAAGGGTTAAATGCATTTCTTTCACAACAGTCTCCATGCTAAACTGAACTTACATGTGTAAAGCTCTGCGCGCAACAACTTTTCCTCCTGATCAAGAAGTTTCCCTCTGCTGCTTAAAATATCCACAGCCTCTCCCATGGTATCCCATGGCTGTTGCCCGTGGAAGGGTGCAGTAGCCGGCAGTGATTTGGAGGAAGAACATTACAAAGTGAAAACAGGCCAAACTGAGCGGAGCAGTACTGATTTTTCTCTGCTTGTCGTACAGGGCATGGTTACATCCTAATTGCAGGATACCGCATCCCTCACCCAGGGATCTGAGTCAGCTCAGCAGTAGTGGACCAGCAGCATGACTGCCTTTGCTTAACTGAAGTTTCGTAGAAACTGCATTTAGGAAGGTATTTTTGCAGTAATAGTGTTAACTGTTCCAGATGAGTAATTTAATATTTTGACTTTCAAAGTCTATCATCCCATTAAAAAAACCCAACGCCCTTATCTCTGCCAGAATGCTTATCGAAGTTATGGACTGACTGAGTTAACTTTTATGACTGCTTTTGGGATGGTAGAAGGCACGTGAAGTATAAAGATGAGGAGTGCTGGATTCTGCTCACAGATCAAGAGACACCCATGCCAACCCTGAAGAGTTAACAGGCCAAGATCAGTGACACAGAAGTGGTAGGGGAACAGAGCTACTCTCCATTAATAAAATTTTCATATGTATTAGTTTGTTTTATGATTAAATATGCTCTGTCTCCATGCCCTGTTCTATCCATTGCTTTGGACAGCTATGTATCAGAGTTAGAAAAACTAGTATTGAATAGAGATTTCAAGCCAAAGCTAATGGCGTTGTGGATTAGTTTAGGGAAGATGCTTCCTGAGGCAGGTTGGAGCATTCAGGAAGAAGCTGATGGCTGAAGGACAAGCAGCTGTGTCTAGAAAAGCAAAGACACCTGCATGGGATGGTGCTGTCAGAGAACTAGACAACAAGGCTGTAGCTGTTGAATTAATGTAAAACAATGTAATTGTGTTTTGACTTGGATAAAGATAAAAGGAGGGAGAGATAAGCTAGAGCAAAGGAAGTCGCATTAAATCGGATTGGATTCCATTAATTCCTGATGAAAGCTTTAGCTGCAGAAAAAGGTCAGAAGTTGTACGAGAGGCAGGCAAGCCTGAGTTTGCACAAAGGGAAATGAAGATGGCCATCCAGGGGAAAGCAGAAGCAAAGCATGGCCTTTGCAGATCAGGAGTTATGATGGAGTTGAGCCAAAGGAGTGTAATACGAGAAAAGGAATTGAAACAAGTGAATTGAAGGCAAAAGTGATTGGGAAGTGATGGCTGGCAGATTTTTAAAAAATTCATGCTTTTTTTTTTTTTTTTTTTTGGCATTTGTTGATGTTTTTCTCTAGCAATCTCCTTTGTTTTGTTTGTTTGCTTTTGGATTTTTTTGGGCCATTGCCATAACTACTGAGTGACTTCTCTACATGCATGCTTTACTATTCAGTAATTAAGGAAATAGTCTATGTACTCATCCTAGAAACCCAGAATGTAATTGCTTAAGACACAAAATCGACGTGCTCACGGTTGTAGTTGTCCATGATTGCTGGACTTCAGAGCACAGCACAAGGCCAATGTTGTAGGGTATTGTCTATTCATATCATTAATGTTTTAACTTACAGTATATAGTGGACATTGGAGAATTCATGTGACTTTGGGTTTCTGCTTTTAATTCCATTGTGGAATAGGGTCACTACCAGTATCCATGACATTCCTGCATTTCAATTTCTCTGTTCCCCAAAGGGGCCTATTAGCAGCTGCACTTCATTTAATCTAAAGAGTAATCAAGATAAGATATATCTGAGAATATGCTAATATTAATAGTATTAATGCAATCCAGGATCTTAGCAATGGACGTGTAATTTACTGTTGCATAGACAAGCCTATTAGAAAATTAATGTCCTCTAAGGCAGGGGCATTCAGTGAAGAGTAAACTAAGATTTCTGAGTTTAAAAGAAAATGAGTTCCTACTGCGGGCATTTATAAGGAACCTTTTAACTCCACGATTTGAGCCATATTTTGCCATTGTAAGAACCACATGGGAAATCACAAGTTTCTTAATACTTTCCTTTAGTCAATACTGTGCAGGCATGTTCTGCATTAAAGTGTGGGACTGTGTCAGCATTCCTCTCCATGGCCTTTATTTGTTCTTCCACCTGTGAAGGAGAGCAAACCAAAGCACAAAGCATGCCTTTAGAAACTTGAGTTTGTACTCTACATCAGCACCTGATTTGGGGGCCCTTTTTCTTAATAATTTTCAGTGGTTCAAATGTTCTGGTTGCAAACATTTCAACCCTAATATATAACTTTCTTCAAGTTGCTCTCAGCTGGAGACTGCTGCTCAGTGCCAGTGGAGAAGGGTCCCAGTTCTTCTTGAGGCCAGCACTTTGTGGTCATGCTGATAGGTCTGCACACACCATCTGAGGGACAACATTTTGGCTTATCATTGTGTTACCGGTTTCTGACATATCTAGGTGTTGATACAGAAAATTGGGAGATTTGCTATGATTTTCAGTGAGAACAAGGTCCTGACTCAATGTCCTACTATCGACACAGATTCACTCATCTCTGCTGGTTGTGCAAAACATTCATAGTATAGCAACTTCTGCTTCTCAACCTGTTTTTCACTTGCTCGTTGCCAGTTGTCATGAAGGTACGCTGGATTCCTTCTGAGTGAGTAAAAGGACTGACCTGGTTGTAGGGAGCCTGGTGTGAGGGGGCTCCAGGACTGAACTGTGTCCAGAGATAGAAGTATATGGTGTTTGTTGTCCAGAGTGACTCAGTAGTTTTCAGCAAAGTATTTGTCTTCTACAGTCTGCATTTCTTAATTGTTTGTGACCAAATGATACAATTCCATACATTGTTTTGGAAGCATGGCTTACAGATTTCCTAAATAACTTCTTATTGCTAACAATCAATTGCAGAAAAGCTCTGCTTTGTCATGCTGAGCTCGCATAGCTCTGTCTGCACTTGGAGTTGAAAACTGCATCAGTTATTCAGGTGTGCCAGGTCTTTGCTATTAGATCCTCTGACTTCTTGGCCTCTCGCTCTAGTCTTCCGAACAGGATAATCCTATTCTTTGCAGGTGCTTCTGAAACTGCTGACTTTATTTAAAACATTCTTGCTTTCTGTTCTGATGCTGTCAACTTCTGTTGGTGTTATAAGTTCCTATGTTGGGTAGCTCAAACAATTAGTAATTTTCTTTCTCTTTTTTTTTTTTTTTGTTTTTTGTTTTTTGTTAAAGAGTTCTGACTGTTGAGGGGCTTATAAAACAGCTCTAGAGTTTGGGACTGATGGATGATGACTGTGGGAAAGAGAAATGTTAGGAGAAATTGCCCAATTTTAAAAATTATTTTCTGCCCACTTAATCAAATGGCTGTTGTCTCTTGGGAGAAACTTAGGCACAATTTTCAATCAACCTATCAGAAAACAAAAGGGAGAGGAGGCTAAACCCGGAGTGAGTCTGTAGTGAATGATAACACACATTTGGTTTACAGCCAGATTTTTCTTCCTGCCTTGTTGCCTCTTCTCCCTCTTTCCTTAAGGTTTATAAGGCATTAGTAAAATGTATGTGATACTTTGCTGTATGTTCAGTGTATGCAGTTCTGCAATATTAA